TTTGGTAATGATGCCTAACAGTGTGATTGCATATTTATTCTCTTATCTCGGCATCATCATCGGAAGCAATGGGTCTACCATCCGGAACGACTATGCAGATGCCTTAGATGACCCGGACGAGCCAGAAATTAGCCCGATGGCAATCAGAGAGATCTGCGATTGTTGCTGCATCACCACAGCAGCGTCGATATGCATGCTGGATTCGTCCTGCCATGGCCATTGAAAGGGATTTTGTGAAAAATAGTTTGATTTCATTTTCTCGACAGGTGATGGCGATAGTGATGAAATGAGGAATAGTCGCCCAAACAGTGATTGAGGGTTGAGTTATGATTTCATGCAGCAGTTTGATATACTGTCGTTTTTGTCATTCAAACTATTTCCAGACCGGAGCCGATAAGTCACACTGTTATGACCTCATTTTGCTCCATTCGACGACGACGACGACGACGCATCAAGTCACATTTCTCATCCGCGAAAACTACCCACTGCGAGAGAGAGAGAGACCAACAACAGAATCGAACATGTCTATTAAACTTCGCATACCTATTAGTAGCCTCGTGTATGTGCTTCCTATTGACCTCGTCGCAATTGCACTCTCGAACTCGTGAATGATGACGTCTGATCGAAAAACGTCCGGAGAAAGCAGCATTGCCTTCCCATCCTCCCGTGCGTCATCTGCCAAGAATCTTCAAATCTGGAACTGGCATCAACTCGGGCAGCCAGGCCAAGCCAACCCGATGAGACACACACTGCATTCTGTGTATAATACTGCTACCGCATTGAACGCCCAAAGCCTTACACCCATCCACCTCCAGGCCGCTCCATCGCCATCCAAAGCACAACAACACAGCGCGGAAGATAATAAATAGATGTCGCTCGTTCTGTCAGAACAATTTATCATTTCGCCAACAGTTTTGACAAGCTTTGAAATATATTACCATTATAATGCGGAATAAATTCGCCGTCTCGTTCGCACTGCTGTCTCTTTGGATTCCCTTCCACAGTGGCGTGGTGGTACAATTGAAGTGGTGCGCTATTTGGTACGAACAGCAGTTCCGGATGCATCTCCATCTCTCTTCATTGCCTTTGCAATGCATCCATAATACGGACAAAGTGAATGGCTGATGGAGAAGATGCCTTTATTTCGTCGTCGGGGTTGGCCTTTTTGTGTTTATGCCATTTTAAGTGCCACTCCGGAGGCGCCCAGGTCTGTGCGACGATTGTGACCCTTTTTGTCCGATTTTTACCGCCTCAAGTTGAACTGTTCGGAGTTGTTTGCTTTTCTATTTAGCAAGGGAAATGTTCGATTTCTTTAGTTGGGGCTTCCGTTTTCTTTCTGCCCGATGGAAGTGGTGAGATAGTGCCACGGCAGCAATTGTTGAGTTCGAGCTCTCCTATTTGGGATGGGGGAAAAAGGTCAAACCGTTTGGTTTAAAATTAAAGGGTGTACTTCTAGCAGGCATATTTGTCTTCTGTTGAAATGTTTGGCTTTCTATTTGTTAATTACCATTTACACGGCTCTGCAAGAATTTCAAGAATCACGTTCGATTCTCGGGAATTCAGAGTTTCTTATTTTCCATGAAAGTCTCATGCACAACTCGATATTCAAGGGATCATCGATAGAACAACGAATTTATAAGAAATCAATTGAAAGGACCATCGCAAGCTATCCTTTACTATGGTTCTTGTTGCAGAGAAAATAGGGAAATGCGACCCATCCTTTAATTTGCTTTCGATAAACTTTAAGGCTGTAATTTATTTTGAACATTAGATTTTTTACAGAGTTCAAGTATGCTAACCTTACTTTCTTCCCTGCAACAACCCGGAATTGTAGGTAGCTTATCTTGAACGAACTCTCGATCATACATTTAATTATTCGAGTTCAGAACTAGCTTTCTGATTTGAGATATAATCGCGCAAAATGAATTTCTAACTTGTGAACACGTTTGTTTTCTGTCCTTCGTTTCAACTCACTCTCTCTCTCTTTTGACGTAGGACTACGTCTGTGATTTCTATATGGGGGTACACTTTGTGAAAACCGAAAATGGAACATGTAACAAAATTATGAAAGATTTTGAACAATAATAACTCAGCTGCCCCTGGACCAATTTCAATAATTTTATCACCAATCGTTCAGAAATATTTCTACGCGACTGATTTTCAAAAAGAAACTATTGAAAAAGTGGTAATGTCAAGCACTGTCCAATTTACTAATTAAAAGTGATAATTTTATCACTGTTTTCTTGAAATAAACTTTCTTCCCAAACCCAGCCGTCATAATCGAGTACCACTTGGTTTTACATCATTCTGTTTTAGCATGAAAAGATATAATCATTTTCGCTTCGGTGAGCAGGCAGTAGAAGCATCAATAGCAGCAGTAGGAAGGTTAGGTAGTCCACTCTTCTTTCCAACGAGCAAAAATGATAAGTCGTGGTTAAGGAGGAAAAGATCTTGGTAAAGGAGGCGCCAAGCGTCATCGCAAGATTCTTCGTGATAACCGCCATCCGTCGTCTGGTTCGCCGTGGTGGTGTCAACCGTATCTCCGGTCTGATCTACGAGGTGTGCTGAAGGTGTTCCTGGAAAATCTGATCCGTGATGCTGTCACCTACTCAGAACACACAAAGCGTAAGCGACAATGGATGTAATCTACGCTTTGAGGCGACAGATGCACTCTGTACGGTTTTGGAGGTTAAATCATCACCAACTTTGGCAACAAAACAGCCCTTTTCAGGGCCAACAAGCTTATTACAGTAAAGAGTTGGAATAGAATTTAGCTGTGCCTGTTTATCCATATTCAGAACCACACGCCCCCAACGACCACACAATATGCTCTCCAGAGTTGTAATCTTGTAACCAAACTTGGAAGCAGGGATGCAAGTGATTTTGATCGATTCTCTTCATCAACTTTCTCTTTGAAAAAAAAAAATACTACAAATTTGGTACGCCAAAAACGGAAAGAGTTAACATAAACATGATAGATCAATTAAATGAACTAAATTTTCTTCACATTTTTTCCGTGCCCTAGCGGTCCTACGTCAAGCTCCCGTTCGTGCCCCTTGGCACAGACCCTTCTACTTTTTTCTCGCTAGATATACCTCAAAATTATCTTGGAATTCTGGACAGAGCTCCTTAAGAATCTTTCCCAGCATTTTTTTAGGAATTGTCCTCAGCGTTTCCTTTGAATTAACTTGTCAGATCCCTGAAAGTTCTTTCAAGCAGTGTTGTAAGCGGTCTCCGTAGTTGACGCATTTTCAGTGATAATCCGCTGCCTTTGCTTTCGACACTTGCCAAACAAGCTATCAAAGTACAGTACCAAACTAAAATATCATATGACAGTCTCTGTCATACGACACGGTCACTGAAGACCGTCACGCATTTCTGAATTTTAGTTTTTCTCATAATGAGAGCTGCTAATGATGTGCTTGTGTGTATTCTGAAAATAGCGAGCAGTGATGGCCTAGTAATAAAATTTATGATCAGAAATGGTTTAATTTACATTGAGGAGTTAGAAGGAAGCTGAAATGTTCAGTAAATCGTTGTGTACATTTGTGCATTTTTACTGAACATTTCAGCTGATTTCATGGTACTTATTAACCTTTCTACAGCAGCTTTTCCGATGATATATGGTACAATTACACTTCAAAATGGTGCAAAGCGGTGCATACTAAGTACAGTTTTCTCTATTTTAGGGAGCGTACTTTAAATATTTACTGAGCATTTTAAGATTTTTAACGTATTTTGATCAATCATTTAAGGAGCAACCCGATCTATTTTAAGGAGATTTTTTTTACTTATTCAGGAACATCGTCATTGTTTAATGATTCATTTACGTTTTTACCAAATTTTTCAACCCAAAAATTTCCTAGACCGAACCGAGAATCAAACTCAACCACCCAACCAACCCAACATGGTCTTGCTTTGTGGCTACGCCTTTACCGACTGCACTAAGGGAGGCCTTGATTGGTTTTTTTTTAAATCTAGCATCACAAAATTTTTATAATGCACAAATCTTGAAAATTTGTCTTAGCCTAAAACTCTAAAAAATGTCGAAAGCGAGGAAATTTTCTTAAATCCCAAAATTACTGAATACTCGTTTCTTGCTGAATACGAACAACCGGATTTTTTTTTTAAATTTAGAGTTTCAAAATGAAAATTTACTGGCCACCACCCTCTGAATTTCAGCAATGATATCATTCTAGTCCAACTTTGTTCATCATTATGAATTTTTGTCCAGAATAAATAAGAATCAAACAGAATGCAGCTTGAATAAGTGCTGGCAAATATCATGTCCGTCATGTGAGAATGACAAAACAGGTCCTATCACTATCATGAGACGAAGCTATATGCATTAGACTGATGCAAAATTTGAAATTTTCGCTCCACAGTGCTCAATCGGTTTCAAATCGGGTCCTGATTAACTTCCCAAAATTTAAGCTCATTTGGTTAGAAACTGACTTGGCACAAACCATTTGATGTTAATATGGAGGTTACTATGGGAAAACCAATCTTGGTGTTCATTGCCTTCTAACCTTTTTGACGTAGAACTACGTATTTGTCGACTATACTGGGGTGCAAATCAAAAAATATGTGTGGTGAAATAGTGTTAGGTTTCAATTGTAACTTTGTCATTTATAGATGAAATTAAAATCCAAATACGCCAATCGACAGGATATTACTTAAAGAATCTGCTGAACACTTTTTCAATTTTTAATCAGAAAACTTTTGAAAAATGCGCAAATTATAATGTTATCACTGATTTCATGAAATAATCGTTTTCCCCAACCCAGTCATCATAAACGAGTACCACTTGGTTACACATCATTCTGCTTGAACCTGATAAGATATAAAACAGCTCTGCTGTAATGCCTCTGTTCATTCATTCTCTTCTTGATCTTCAAGCAGTCCAGTCCGCTCTCTCTCTCTGTAGAGTATTCGTTTTCGTTCAATAGTGTTCGCGTCTCTCTTTCGTGGTGTTAAGTGAAACATCGATTGATCCCAGCATGGGAAAACCGCCGCGTGGTCATGCGGTTGCAAGCTCGTCTGGGAAGCGTCCCCGACAGGAAACCGCCAACGCTCAGTCGGCATCGAAAAAGCTACTGTCAAACAACCGGTACGCCATTCTCGAAAATGGTGATGAACCGGAAATAAAGAAAAAGGAGAAACTACCACGATTCTTCGTCAAAGGATTTCCGCCCGGCCTTCAGGAGAACATCAAATTCTACATCGAGCAAGGCTTAAAGTGCACCATGCGCATGTGCACTGAAGGCATCATGCTGATGGTACCAGCAAGGAAGTACTACAACGCCATCGAAGAGCTGCTGAAGCGGGAAAAATGGGAGTATTTCTCTCACGACATCGAGGAGGACAAGCCGCTCAAGGTGGTCGTGCGTGGTCTGCCCGATATGGAAATCGCCGTGCTGTCGTATGAGCTGAAAAAGAACGGCCTAAAGCCATGGCAATTTTCAGGATGAATTGGCACGACGCCTCCCGCAAGTACCGTGACCAGCTGTATTTGGTCCACCTCGAGCGAAACACAACGTGTTTGAAGGACGTGCAGTTTATTCGGGCGCTTTTCCAGATCGTGGTTACGCTACCAACCTCGCCCCGTAACGTCACCCAATGCTCAAGCTGCCTCATGTTTGGGAATGGGACCAAAAATTGCCACAAGGCCTATCGCTGCAACGAATGTAGCAAGTAACACGCACCCGAAGAATGCGAGAGGATGGAGAACGCCGATCCACAATGCGCCAACTGTGGTGCAGCACATCGAGCTACCAGCAAGTCTTGTCCGAAGCGTGCGGAATTCATGGAAATCCGCAAAAGGGCCTCCACGCAGAACCAGCCGGGTCGAAAAAAGGTACCGGCATGCAATGAGCAGAATTTCCCCGCCATTAGCCAACGGCATCCGATTCCGATTCTTCCGCTACTACCGCTCAACAACCGTTTGGCTGCTGCTGCTGCATCGGTCCCGCCAACTGCTGAGGTGCCAAACCATCCGGCCGTCAGTACTATGTGGCAACGGTTTCGTCCCCTCCCCCGGGACTATCGTGGTGTCGAGATGATGCCCCACCATCGCATGAAAACGAAGAGCTACTCACAACAGAGGAACTCATTACCATCATGGCAGAAGCAATCATCATCAAGCGCTCCTGCAGAACCAGAACCGAGCAGATTCTTGCTGCGTCACGTTTCATCGACAATTATGGACCGTGAAACCATCGAGATCGCCAACTGGAACGCTTGCTCGCTCAAGAGCAAGATCATCGAGTTCGTTGACTTCCTCAACAAACAAAACATCGACATTGCCGTTATCACCGAAACCCACCTGAAACCGGAGGTAAACTTCTACCTTCCTGACTTCCGGCTTCTAAGACTTGATCGAACCAGCTCCGGGGGAGGAGGAGTTGCCATTGCTGTAAGGAGAAACATCTGCTGTCGGCTTCTGCCGAGCTTCCAGCTGAAAACCATCGAAGCTTTAGGGGTAGAAGTCTCCACTCTTGTCGGTCCCTTCACCATAATTGCGACCTACTGCTCCAAGCAAGTCACCATCAGGGACGGGTCGGCAGCAGACCTGCGGAGGGAAATCATCAAACTAACTCGACGGCGCGAAAAGAACATCATCGCTGGCGACCTGAACGCCAAACACCAGGCTTGGGGCAACAGTCGACGCAACCAAAACGGCACCATCCTGAACGACGACCTGCAAGAGGCTCGCTACACCATATTAGCGCCGGACTTTCCCACCCGGTTGAGCCGGTCTGTCGTTCACTCCACGATAGACATCTTCATCAGCAACATGGGAGACAACATCTCGCTACCTGTGACCCATCAGGAGCTGAGTTCGGATCACTATCCGATGGTGGCCGAAGTAGGCTCATCGTTAACCGGATCCAAGCTTCCCGACTCAACTACCATCGTGTCAGCTGGGAGCAGCTCCAACACTGTCGACTCCACTGTCGATTACGGTGTCCTTCCGGAGACGCCCGAAGACGTTGACCGGTGTCTGCGTTCCATCGAGGAGGCGATATCCCGGGCCAGGGAACAACAAGTGCCAGTATCCAGACAGGTGAGCAATACTCTGAACCTTGATAGAATTACCAAAGATCTCATCAGACTCCGTAACTCCATCCGAAGGCAATACCAGCGTTCTGGTTTACGTGTCTTGAAGACCGATTGCAATCGTCTTACAAAAACCTTCCAAACCAGGATGGTGAACCTCAGAAATCAAGATTTTGCTAACAAGATCCGCTCTCTCCCAGATTGTGCAAAGCCCTTCTGAAAATCCTTAAAAATAAGCCAAGACCCATTCCACCAGTTACCCCACTGGATCATCCCGGCGACCCAGTGGTTCATCTGATAACTCCTGAAGAGCAGGCTGTCGCGATAGGTCAACACTTCGTCAACTCCCATAATCTCGGACAAAACATCGTCAGCCTTCATGAATCTGAGGTTGCTGAAAATGCAACCAATCTTCTTCAGATTCCTAACATTTTTCCCGAGGAATCCGAGATTACGGCTGACGAACTGTTGGCCTATATCAAGTCATCTAAAAACATGAAGGCCCCAGGTTTCGACAACATCCTGAACCTGGAACTCAAACACTTGAGTTCCAGATTCTACAACCATCTGGCACTGATTTTTAATCAGTGCCTCAGACTTGGCTACTTCCCCTTGTGTTGGAAGACAGTTAAAGTCATACCCATCCGGAAACCTGGGAAGGATCCGTCCTCTCCTTCAAGTTATCGACCAATCAGCCTTCTCTCAGGGTTATCAAAACTGTTCGAAAGAGCACTGTACCACCGGCTCCTAACATCTGCCGAACAAAACAACATCTTACTCGAGGAACAGGTTTGGTTTCCGGAAAGGTCGTTCGACCGTCCACCAGTTGACTCGAGTGACAAACATTCTCAGACGGAACAAGTCTGTTTCGAAAACATCTGCCATGGCGTTGTTGGACGTTGAAAAAGCGTTCGACAATGTCTGGCATGATGGCCTGGTGTTCAAATTGCAGCAGTACGGTTTTCCAATCTTCCTAGTGAAGATCATAAACAGCTATCTATCAGGCAGGACGTTCCGAGTCTCTCTGAATGGCATCTCATCGGATGCTTTCAACATCGGTGCCGGAGTTCCACAAGGAAGCATCCTTGGCCCCATCCTATTCAACCTGTTCACCTCCGATATGCCGGCTCTCTCTGATGGTGGATCGTTGTCTCTATTCGCAGATGACACATCCATCGTCTACAAGGGTAGGGTCATCGGAGCTCTGACTGCCAAACTTTAGAGAGGCCTGGACGTCCTGTCTGAATACTTCAACAGCTGGAAGATCCGTATCAACGCGGCAAAGACCCAGGTCATCATCTTCCCACACTCAAAATCTCCCAGACTTGTTCCGTCTGAGAATAATAAGATCTGCTTAAACAGCTCAGTGGTGGAATGGTCCAAAGAGGTCGTGTACCTCGGGCTAACACTAGACAGCAAGCTTCTTTTCAGGGAGCACGTTGACAAAACCAAAACCAAGTGCAACATCTTGATAAGATCGTTGTATCCACTCATCAATAGGAGGTCTACCCTGTCCCTGAAAAATAAGCTTGCTGTCTACAAACAAATCATCCTTCCCGTAATAGAATACGGGATGCCAATCTGGGAGAGTTGTTTTCCCTCCGCCATCACTGGCAAAAAGAGATGATCGCCGACTCGCTCATGTACCGACGGATGTGTCCTCTCCTCTCCAACGGAGGAGTTTGGTAAAGAGAGATGATCTAACCGATTTGTACCTTCCTAAAAAGTTGTCCTTGCTCGTTGTCTACCTTCTATGTATATACAATTTTCACACTGCTGTACTTTAATGGAACTATCAACTCTATACTTTCATCTCCTCATCTATCGTATAAAAATTACCGCTTTAGTATGTTATTTGAAATTAGCATCATCAACTATAATTTTTAAAGATTTTTTGAAGATTCCTTTAAAGTTATTTCTGTTAAAATGCAGATTCCAGATGAAATGTAAGGAGAATTCCTAGGGAGTTCTGAGTAAAATCACATGAGAACCATGAGTAGGAATCAAAGTAAACTTTCAACAGAATTCTGATGACGGTTCCAAGGTAATTTCTTAGTAAATTGCTAGTAGAGCTCACTTTAATCTAAAATTAGAAACTTATTTTAATGAGAATTCTAAAAAATCTGTATTGAGATCTCCAAGGTACTAGTGAGTGGAAATCCATTAAAAGAAGATGAATAGAAAGGGAATTCTGTACAGAGTTCTATGAAATTTCTGAATATAATTTCTTTGGAAATTTCCAACGAGCTGTTAGGTAGCTTTCAAAGGAATACTTAAAGTAAATTCCTAAAATAATTCTTTGAGAGTTTTAGGAGAATACTTTTTGAATACTGAGGAGAGATTATTTCAGAAAAAAATCTTTGGAAAATTTTCAAGGATGCTGTGCATAATTTTCAGGAACTATTTTTGAAGTCTTTAATTTCTATACTGGGGTACACTTTGTGAAAACCGAAAATGGAACATGAAACAAAATTATGAAAGATGTTGAACATTAATAACTCAGCTGCCGCTGGATCAATTTCAATAATTTTATCACCAATCGATCAGAAATATGTTTACGCACTGATAATTTTCAACAAAGAACTATTGACAAGGTAGCAATGTCAAGCATTATCCAAAGTACAATTATAAGTGATATTTTTTTCACTGTTTTCAGGAAATAAACGTTGTTCCCAATCCCAGTCGTAATAATAGAGTACTACTTGGTTGCACATCATTCTGCTTAATTCTGAAAAGATATAAAACAACGCTGCTGTCTAGCCTCAACCCATTTTCGCTTCGGGCGGTGAGCAGGCAGCAGAAGCAGCAAAATCAGTCGTCTGGCTCACCGTGGCGATGTCAAACGTGTCTCCGGTCTGATCTACGAGAAAACACGAGGTGTGCTGAAGGTGTTCTTGGAAAATGTGATCCGTGATGCTGTCACCTACACTGAACACGCCAAGCGTAAGCGGCCATCGATGTCGTCTAAGCTTTGAAGCGACAGACGAACTCTGTACTGTTTCGGAGGTTAAATCATCACCAAATTGGGTAACAAAACGGTCCTTCTCAGGGCCACCAAGCTTATTACAGTAAAGAGTAGGAATATAATTTATCAGCCTGTTTGTCCATATTCAGAACCACATGCCCCCAACGATCACACACAATGCTATCCAGAGTTGTAATCTTGTAACCAAACTTGGAAGCAGGGGTGCAAATGATTTTGATCGTTTCTCTTCATCAACTTTCTCTTTAAAAAAAACAATATTACAAATTTGGTACGCCTACAAATAAAAAATGGGTTAGGGTTTTGCGATGTGCATTGCTTTTGTGCACGGAGTGTCTTGAAAAAGAAAAATGATATTTGGTTGTTGTGTGGTTGGAGTGGAGAGAAAAATATGCGTGGAAGCATCGGGAATGCGCTCCCGGGTGAAGTGATTTGGTGAGTACGTTCCAGGTGAAGATTGTTGACAAGTGTATTTGTGGTGATGCAAATTATAGTTTAGATGACGCATGGCTTCAAACATTTTGTGTATCCAAATAAAACATATTACATACTTAATACGCACAGGGCATCGTCTGCTGACCATTGCCGCGGGTATATCATGGGAGTCCCAGGTACCTGGTTCAAGCTTTAGTTGGCGGCGGTGGCTCTTCTTGACC